ATAAAAAAAAAAAAAAAACTTGAAAAAAAAATCTGATTGTTTTAGTATAATTTTTTTATAGGATAAAAAAGGATAATTGTACGATAAATAATGAAGCCAAAATTAACAAATTTGTTTAGATAATATGAGTTATTTATCCAAAAAGGGTTAAATTTGATATATAATTAATTGGTAAAAGGGAAAATTACTTGTTTGAATTGTTATTTTCAAAGGGAAGTGGAAAAACCTCAATTCCAAAATTTCACAACTAAGTTTCATAAAATTTTATAACATAACAAATAAAAAATATTCTAATTATCGAATTAAGTCAATTAAAATCGAATTAGATAATTGATAATTAGATAATTGATAAATAAAAAATATAAATATCATATATATCATATATATAATAATATTATATAATGCATCATTCTAAACATTGATCCTCACCACTAATTTACCGCGTCTAAATTACGCGTCACATAAACTCACATATAACTTTGAAGATATTTGTTCTAATTGACATTAAAAAAATAATTAATAACAAACATAGTAAATCAATTTTTAATTTACCTTTTCTTTTGTAAATCTTTACCATATAAATTAAATAAGCTAAAACCAATATAGTAAATTTGTACGATAATTATTGTACAATATAAAACAAACACGTAATTGTGCTCCGTGCTTTATATATTATGTAAATCATCAAATTAACTGTCTCACATTTTTTTTTTTTTAAAAAAAAAAAAGTTGACCAAAAGTACGGGAATTTATCGCAAAACCATTCCCCTAAAATTAATTGACAAATATAGTTTAAATGATTAATTTAATATCGGGTTCATCATTATAAATTATGTATTGTAGATGATGATTATAATAAAATAATTTTAAGATGAGATAATGCTTGTGTAATCAATAATTTTTATGGGATGGGAAAGGATTCTGTTCTAGACTTCTAGAATCTCTCTTATTATATATCCTGAAATAAGAATAAATTATTTTTTATTTAAACAATTTAAACAATGGATATTACAAAATTATTAAAAATTATTTATGGTAACGTCTTTTCAGGATAAAAAACCTGAGTGAAATGATTAAACAGGTTTTATTCCAGAAATTAACATTTGATCGACTTCATAAAGTTTACTACGTTTGCGGAGTTTACGATGTTTTACTACGTTACGACGTTTTATTTACTATGTTTATGAAGTTTTTTACAAAGTTTATGACGTTTTACGAAGTTTATGACGTTTTACGACGTTATGAAGTTTAGATTCGGATGCATGAATATTATAGAATAAGCATTTCGTGAAAAAGATTATCTTATCTTTAAATCGTTGTTGCCATACTTTTTGAATAAAATCATTTTTATAATATTTTAATCTTAAAAAGAATTCGGTTAATATCTAAATCCGGGAGTATGTTTGTATCATAAAAAGATCAAAAGAAAAAAAAAACGAAAATCCCCTATTCAAAAAAAAATTGTAGGTTACACATGACATTTTTTTTTTGTACATCACTTTATCTTATCTTTTCTCTTTCCTATTTAGGGTTGAACAAATTTACCAATGAAAATAAGATTGATTCTGAAAATGAAAACAATTGTTCGTTTATCCAATCGGATTGAAAAGATAAAATGGCTGAGTTTTTAAAGAAACTGGTTCAGATGATTACAGATGATTACGTTAAAAAAATTCATGTGTCACAAACATTAAACTTTTTTCAACTTCATTTTTGTTTTAATCTTTTTCATATTTACATATTGAAATTTGCGTCACAAAAATTTTTCTTGTTTCACAAAAGTTTATATTTTGAGTCACACATTAAACAAATATTTGTTTATTTACAAAATATTTACTGCAGAAGAATAAATATAAATTGTATGAATTTATATTTTTTATTTTATTGTGTTAAAATTTCCTTTTTATTTATAATTTTTTTTTTTTTTTAAATATTTTTTTTAAGAATTTTTGAAGTTAAAATTTAGTAGATATTAATACTTCCTTAATATTTTTTACGATAGGTTATAGTCGACAAATTATGGAAGAAACCTACATGGAGATCACCTAATGTTTTTCATAAATTTGTAACTACACTCCGTAATTCATCTACAACTTCTTTTAATTACGGTAACTTTGTACAACAAATAACATTTACATCATATCCTGAAATTTCATTACCGAAACCTGATATAAAAATAATTTCTGAAAAATGTAAAAATATAAAATATCTTACTTTTAATAGAATCGCTTCAATTGAAATAGTAGAAATGTTTTTGAAAAATTGTCCTGGTTTAATTTCTTTTGCAATTTTTAGTCATAAATCTTCTTCATTAGGTATTGCATTAAGACCAATTAGAGATGGAAAATGTTCAAGACTTCAACATTTAGATTTACAACATTGGAAATCTGAATGGAAACATGATATTTTAAAAGATATTGGAAATAGATGTCCTTTACTTACAACTTTAATCATTTCTAGTTTAGTAACAAATACTTTGGCTACTACTATAGTGAATTCTTTTCCTAATTTAAAAGGTTTTACTTGTAATACAATTACTGGTGCGGGTTTTACTATTTTAATATCAGGTTTCCCAAAATTAAAATTTTTATCCTTAGAATTTCCTTATATTAGGTAAGAAATATATTATATACATATATATATACAAAGTATATATATTAAAATATGAATGGAATTTTTAATTAATGATGATTCCTTTATTATATTAAGTTTTGAGACAGCTTTAGCTGTAGCAATGGATTTTCCTCCTTTAGAATCTTTTAATTTAAGAATTAAATCATATAAAGGTTTTGATCATTTTGCTAGATTATGGGTACAAGGACAATCTTATCTTCAACATATTGAATTTGATTCAGCTCGTGGATTATCAGATGATTCTTTTTTACCTATAGCACAATATTGTCATCAATTGGAATCTGTAGAATTAAGATCTTGTACGAATTTAACTGATTCTTCCATAATGGCATTGGCAAAATATAGAAATATTAAATTAAAAAGATTTACTATAATTCATTGTAATCAATTAACTGATTTAGGTTTAAATGATTTGGCTAAATATTGTAATAATTTAAGAAAGTGTACAATATTAGGATGTTTAAATATATCTCATTCAAGTTTATCAAATATTGTAAAAAATTGTAATAATTTACAAGAATTTGGTTTTACAAATAGACCAATGATGACCCCTACTATTGTAATGGAATTAATTAATAATGATTTGGAAAATTTTCTTGAAATTTTAGATATAAGAAGTGATGATTTAGCTACTGCCGATTCTAGTGTTAAAAAACCTTATCCAAAATTTGATTTAAATTTAATGATAAATCTTGCTGAAAAATGTCAAAATATTAGAAAATTAAGTTTAAGATTTAACATGGTAGGATTAAGTCCTGATGTAAGTAAATTATAATAATTGATATATATATATATATACTGCACATATAATTAAAATTAATTTAATTTATAATTTATAATTTTTTTTTTTTAGGAATTAATACAAGCAATACATAAATTTCATAAATTAGAAAAATTAGAAATATTAACAATTGGTGATAAAGAATTTAAAAAAGATCATATAAAAGAATTAGAAACACATCGTAGATTAAAAGAAGTTAAATTTGTAGGAAATTCTGCTTTAGATCAAGATGCTAAAATTTATTTGGTTTATAGAAAAAGTAAAGAAAAATGTCAAGGTCCTTTTATTACAATTTCTTTATAATATTATATATTATATTTGTAATAATTTTGGAGGATTTTAATATTTGGGTAGGATTTTTTTTCTTTGGTGGGAATTCGAAATAATTCGAAATAATTCGATTTTTTTTTTTTTGTTAGTTACATGACTTTTAATAGTTTTTTTGGACATTTATAAAAAAAAAAGCATTGTTATTTTCAAAAAAAAAAAAAA